CCCTGAGCTGGCATCTGTCTTCCTCCAAAGCAAATAATGCAAGAGACAGTGTGACCAAGATGGAAGTCACAGTGTCTATGACCTGGCCCTCCAAGCCTCCCAGTGCCCCTGCTCCACTGAATTCATTAGAAGGGAACAGCTAAGTTCAGCCCACACTCAGGGGGACACAAAAGTGCCACTTCTTGAAGAGAGGAGTACTAGAAAACTTTGTGATGGCAAATGAGTCACTTGGGAGAAGCAGAAGGAAATTAAGGAGAGGAAACTGTACCTTCTAAGTCATTACAGGCACAGCTGCCAGATTAGTCTCATCATATTAAGTTTTGTCCATGGGATTTTCCTGCTCAAAAACCTTCATAGTTTTCCACTGCCTGTACCCTCTAGGTGGAGGGCTAGAATCTGTAGTGTATAATTCAAGGCATTCCAGGATCTCATGCTACTTTCCAGCTGTGCCTCCCAAATTCCCCTTTTGCTTTCCCATGGATCAACCAGGAGCCATTCTTCTTCCCCATGCCTTTCCTTCTCATTCCTTCTCCCTAAAATGCTCTTGCCTCCGATCTCAGCATGTCCAAATCCTTCAAGTACCATGGGACCATGAAACAGTCCCATCCCAGCCAGAGATAATAAGAGCTTCCTCTTCTGAATTCTGAGAGTTCATCAACACTTGTCTCCCAGCACGCCACCTTCACCCTCACATTAAAGCATCTTTATGGCATACTCCCCCTGGGCCACCTTTGGCATTTAACCTGGCATCCAGAAGTTTGGTGCGTATTTGTCCATTTTATTAGCATCATAAGGACACAAACTATAGCAAAAAAAATAGAGCGAGCTTTGCAATCTTTGGATTTTTTTTTCTTTATCATAAAGTGATTTAGCAAAACTTAAAAAGAAAAAGCTTTATGGGTGTTTGGAGAATGAACTGTAATGGAGTAAGGACAGGTGCAGTCAGGTTTGTTCAAGGCTATTGCAGATGTCTGAGTGAGGGCTGGCGTAGACGGAAGTGTATAGATTTGATGTATGCTTTTAGGGTGGACTTGACAGAGAATTTGCCTTAGCATTGTGGTGGGCGGGGAGGGGGCACCACAGAATTAAGGATGACTTCCAGGTGTTTGCTACTGCTAACTGTGGAGCTGATGGTCCCACTTCCAGCGAGAAGACTATAGAAACAGCACATTTGGGGGGTCATGCAGATGTGGAGATGCCCATAGGGAAACCTAGTGGTAAGGTCAAGGAACAGTAAGGTCAGTTCGGTCACAGAAGACACGGGGCTGGAGATGCAAATTTGAGAGTCCTCAGCATATAGATGGTTCAAAGATGCGGGATGAGTGAGATTCCCCCAGGACGAGGGTAGAAGCAGAGGAGGATGCAAGCCCAGCCCTGAGGACCTGCAGGATCTAGCGAGCAAGCAGAGGAACGAGACGGGGGAGAAGTCTGAGAAGGAAGAGCTGAGGAGGCAGGGGGACAACCGGGTGTGCTGCCTTGGATGCAGGGAAAGGCTAGTATTTCCAGAAGGTTGGAGCTATTTACCAGTTACTCTTGCACCAGCAACCACTGGCCGGCCGCCAGCTCTGGCACATGTGTCACTTCGTCCGCAGGCCTGCCTCCCGGGTCCTCAGCCACCGTCCCGTCCGGCCCCTGCCACCAGCATCCCAGCTCCGGTCCAGACCTCTCCTTTGCTCCTTCCCTTCTTTCCTCCCCAGCAGCCAGAATGACCCCCGGGAAACCCTCCATCGGATCCCATCACTCGTGTTTCAAAGCTCTCCCTGGTCACCCGTCACGTGGGGATACAGTCCACACCGCTTGTGAGTTTCCAGGCCAGCTGGCCCCTGCCTCCCTGACCCCCACTTTGCATGTCTGACCTCCGGTCCTGTTTCCTACTGTCCCCCACTGTCTCTGTCCTCGGGTTCCAGCCTGAAGTCTTGGCCTAAACATAACCTCCCCAGAAAGGCCTTCCTTGACCTCTCCTTGAACCCTCTCCCCTCCACACTATCATCCCAAGAGGCTTCTCTTTTCTCTTCTTTTCTCTTCTTTTCTTTTCTTTTCCTCTCTTTTCTTTTCTTTTCTTTTTTTCTTTTCTTTCTTCTCTTCTTTTCCTGCCATTAGCACTGGAGAGGCTGTGTCTGTGGTTTACAACCACGTGGCAGCACAGAACACCAAGTAGGCCCTCACTAAATACTTCTTGAATGCATTAAGCAAAACCAACTTCTCCTTTCCAAGGAAATTCTCCACCAGAATTTCTCTTAAATCATAAAATATCTCTTTTTTTTTTAAGATTTTACTTATTTATTCATGAGAGACACGGACTGAGAGGCAAAGTCATAGGCAGAGGGAGAAGCAGGCTCCTCGAAGGAACACGATGTGGGATTCGATCCCCAGACTCTGGGATCACACCCTGAGCCAAAGGCAGACGCTCAACCGCTGAGCCACCCAGGCATCCCTACACCGGAAAATATCTTCAATGACTTTATTTACTTTAAGTAATGCAAGCTAATTTGGACGTTTTAGATAAGGCTTTTCAAAAAACAACAGGCCAACAATATCTCGGGAGGCAGGACCTACAGACTCAATTATTCTAAATCATTGCGACTTATAGACTGAACATGATACTTTCATTAACGGTTGTTTGTTAATCCACTTAATAATGAGTAACCTATTGAGGTTGAACGAGAAGTGAGTTAAATAATCCCTGATTCTGTAGGAGTAATTAGTTATACATATATTAATTTGCCTGCTTTCAAGTCAGGCACTATTTAAAAAAAAAAATCCAAGAGGGGAGGTAGCAGGAGTTTAACAGCCGTCCATTCTTTGCAACATTTTCAGAAAGCAAATGAAAATGAACCTGAAACAAGACAACAGCAGGGGCACTCATTAACTTAATACACTTTAATCTTGTGAATAGAAGCTACAGCTTGATTCATGGAATCCAGAGCTGCACACTTCCACCTCCAGCCACCTGACAGACACCTCCTCATGGGTGTTCTGGTGGCACCTCCAGTTCCGCACATCCCAATTTGAACTTATTGTGCAATGAGTATGGTCCTCGTCCTGGGCTCCCTATCTCCACGGTGTGCCACCCCATATGCACAGGCTAGTAGCCTCAGCACCATCACCCCGGGCCCGCTCCTCGGCCCCCCAAAAGTGTCAAGCTGCCACATCCTGGGGACAGTTTCATAGCAGCCACCCTGATCCCTTCTCAGTCTCTGGGATAACTCCCACTGAGGTCTCTTAACTTGCTTTGCCACCTCCATGCTCCTCTCCATGAAGTCTCCAGTCCTAGGTATGGGACTCAGCTTCGAAAACCGAGATACAGTCATCCCGCCTCAAAGCAAGCAAACCAAAAGACCCCCAAACATTTCATCCTCATCATAGTAACTAATACTGAGGACTAATTGTGTGTGAGCTCCATGCTCCGTGCTCTGCACACGTTACTGCACAAAATCCTTCCACTGAGTCCCAAACCAAACAGCTCACCAACATCTGGCCCTCCCTGCCTTGCCCACTTCATCCAGGCTTCTCCCTGGCTTTGCCAGGTGCCGTGTCAACGGTCTTTGTGTTCCCAGGACACATGGCAAGCACTGGCTGTTAAAATGCTTTCTCCTTGGCCCAAGTTTGCTTGACTCCTTTTGGTCATATGATTCTCAGCTCAAATATAAGTTTCACAAAGAAGCCTTGTGTGATGGTCCAATGCTGGCATCCCTCCTAGTATCACAGAACACTAGCACTTGTCACCCCTCTGTCATGACTTTTCTTTGTTTCCTGGTCAGCTCCCTCGGTAGAATGTAGGCTCCTCCAGGACAAAGATCATGTTCCATTTGCTCACCAGTGAGCTGCAGGAGTAGCACAGGGCCACATGATGGGGGGCACTCCATAAACAGGAGATGCATGGTTGAGAGAAGGAATGAATGAAATCACAGTTCCTGGTCAACACTCTGGAAATGGTTGCTATCACCAATATCCTAGAGCTCGTGTCTCTAATGTTTATCCTTCCCGGTGACCGGCTCTCTCCAAGCATCCAGGTCTGATGGTGTTAAATCAGGTCTGATCTGCTCAAATTTTCCCCGAGGATCATCAATCCATCACTTTTCTATCTCCTACTACGTGCAGGGAGCCATGCAGCAGGCTTAAAAAGCATCATCTCAGGTACCCTTAACAGCTACCCCCACGAGGTAGGCCCTCTTCTCCAGGGCTGCATGATGACCCTGGAGAGCACGTTTGCCTTTGTGGGCCCTTCTTCCATAAAGAGATATTTAAAATCATATATTACACAGCATCAGTTGTTTATACCAATTAGATTTGTACAAATATACCCCAGGCTGGTGTCATTATTATACTACTCATTGATATTCTGATTGATAAAGAAATGAAAACATTTTCATCGGCCCTAGACACTTTTCCCCTAAGTCAGCCCTTAGTTGTCAGTTGAGAAAACTGATGCTCCGACGGGGAAGAAAGAGCGGGGCGGAGACCCGAACCCGGGTAAAGAGGGAGTCTGAGTTTAAACTCTTTTTTTTTTAAGATTTTTATTTATTTATTCATGATTGACAGAGAGAGAGAGGCAGAGACACAGGAGGAGGGAGAAGCAGGCTCCATGCAGGGAGCCCAATGTGGGACTCGATCCCAGGACTCCAGGACTGCGCCCTGGGCTAAAGGTTAAACCGCTGAGCCACCCAGGGATCCCCCCAAATTTAAACTTATCCCAAGCTGAGACCCCTGGGACCCCGCCCAGGCGGGGGTTGGGTCCTCCCCGGGGCGGGGAGCCAGGAGCGCGCCGCTACCTCTGAGCCCCGCCCCCGCGGGGCCCCGCCCCTCGCCCAGGCCCCGCCCCTCGCCCAGGCCCCGCCCCCGCCGGTTCCCGCCGGGCCCCGGGCGCCTGGAGCCACGACTGACCTGTGCCCCGCCCCTTCCCCGGCTCCAGGCGCGCGGCCGCGGAGGGGGCGGGGCCGCGGGACCGCGCGTGCGCTCGCCCGCCCCCCCGCCGTGCGCATGCGCCCTGCTCGCGCGCGCTCACGGGAAAGGATGGCGGGGGCCGCGCCGGGCGCCATCATGGACGAGGACTACTTCGGGAGCGCGGCCGAATGGGGCGACGAGGCGGACGGTGGCCAGGTGAGGGGGGGCGCCGGGCGCCCCCGACGAGGACTGTTGGTCTCCGTCGCCGGCGGGCCGGCCCCGCCCCCGCCCCCGCCGCGCCCGGCCCCGCGGTCGCCGTGTGTCCAAGCACAGCGTGCCCCGCCCCCTCCCGCCCCGGAGCGCGCCCCCCGCGCCCCCGGGGCCCCCCTGCACACCCCAGCCGGGCGGGGGCCGGGCCGGGCGGCTCCTCCCTGGGGTCTGGGCCGCGCAGGTGCCGGCCGCCCTGGGGACCCGAGCGGCCCCGCCGACCACTCCCCGGGGGTCGCCCCGCGCCCCGCACCGGCCCTTCCGGGGCCCTGACGCGGGGACGGTGCAGACGCGGAGGAGGACCGAGCTCAGAGCCCCAACTTTGAACCACCCAAGTCCTTAAGAAGTCCCAAGCCAGCAGCATCATTGAGGGGGAAAGCGGAACTCGGGCTTTCCTGCATGTTTGCACACCGTACTTTTCAGCGCTTGGGGCCGACCCGGGCCAACCTGGGGCTCCCCTCGGTGGCCTTGAGGGGCCGGGTGTGGAGGCTGGGGAGGGTCGTCCCTGGCGGGAAGAGCAGACCTGGGGACCCCCGCCCCGCCGCTGTGGCCTGGAAGCTCAACCTGAAGCGGGTGTTCGGGATGCGGCTTCCCAGGTCCCCCCCACCCACCCCCAGACCCCAGCGGCTGGCCTGGAGGGGGGCTTGCCCGATAACGAGCACCCCTGTCGGGTGGAGGAAATGCAGAACCCACGTTCCGATGGGGGCTGTGTTCCTGGCGCCCTAAGGAGCCCCGTGTGGCGGGCCGCTGGGTGGGCGCAGCGCCGTGAGGCCTTGGAGGGAACAAGCTCCGAAGGGCCCGTGATGGCTGCTGACGAGCCTGACTTGTTGAAGAGTTTGGGGCAGGGACTTGGGTGTTTGGAGCCTCCGAGAGCCTGTGCTGCCTTGGTGCCCCCCCCCCATTAATTCCTTCCACTCGTGAGACTTTTGGGTGTTAATCTGCTCATTTTGTAAATGAGGAAAGTGCGGCAAAAAGAGCCAGTGACCTGCTCAAGGTTGCAGAACTGGCCAAGGAAAGAATGAGGTGTTCCAGCCCAGGTCGTTTTGTCTCCACTCAAGATGCTGGACGCCCGACGTGTTCCCCACACGAGCTTTGTGACGGCTTCTTGTGACGGCTTCGAGCATCCTGCTCCCAACGCCCTAGTGCTGGTCACATTGAGCCTTCAAGTCACAGAGTGTTACAACTGAGGCACATGGCAGGGCCATCGAGAGCAGTGCCCTCGTTTCATAACCTGACAGTCCGGCTTAAGGCCCTGTCTTATGCAGCGAGGAATGGCAGGGGGCTACGGAGTTGAGACTGGAGATGAAAGTCTCGACTTTAATCATGATCGAAATTCACCCCCCACTGACCCTGATAGGTTCTCAGCGATGAGAAGGGTGGACCAGATGTTCACTTCTTAGAGGAGGAAGTCAAGATAGGTGACTGAAGGGGCGACGTGAGCTGGATTTTGAAAGACAGCGGCAGGGCAATTTGGGAGACGCATTCTGTTCACTTGATGCCATGTTACTGGATTTGAGAGGCAGGAAGTTGTGTAAAGAGGCTACAGTGATATTAAATCCAGATGGTAGAAGCTAAGAGCCACATTGAAAGGCAAGTAGTTTAGTCTGGCTTCAGCTTGTCAATGGGGACTGGCAAGAGGGGAGACTGGCCAGGTGAACGAGTGAAAGGTTGAGTCGTGCTGGAGGTGGGAGATCTCTGAGGGAGACTGGAAACTTTAAGCAAGAGAGAGATACCAGGTTTGTGGTTTACGAAGACCATTGTGGCATCCGTTGTGGAAGACACTTGAAGGAAGGAATGAAACTGAGTCGTTAGGGACGTATTGCTACTGCAGGCAATTCACAAAATAAGGAATGGTGAAGATGGAAAGAAGGGCCAGATTGGATGTCTATGTGGGAGACAGAATTGGTGGGTCTTTCTGATGGGGTGTGGGGGTGGGGTGAGGGAGCAGCACCTGAGGATGACTCCTGGCTTTGTGGGTTTGGGGTAACAGGTAGATGATGGAATTCTTTTTTTTTTTTAAGATTTTATTTATTTATTCATGATAGCCACACAGAGAGAGACAAAGAGGCAGAGACACAGGCAGAGGGAGAAGCAGGCTCCATGCAGGGAGCCCGACGTGGGATTTGATCCCGCGTCTCCAGGATCGTGCCCCGGGCCAAAGGCAGGCGCCAAACTGCTGCGCCACCCAGGGGTCCCAGATGATGGAATTCTTTACTAAAATATAGGTTGCAGGAAGATCTGTTTAGAGGTCAGTTTTGGACCTAATGAGTTTGGAGAACTAGTGGACATCCGGATGGAAATGAGAGTAGACTGCTGACACTCCGAGCCTGGAGCGCAAGAGAAAGATCCAGGCTAAATTCTAGATTTATGAACAGGGAGGTGGCATTACCCAAGAGAAGATGTAGAAGAGAACAGGGCCCAGGGCAGAAGCCCGAGAATACAGACACAAGGATGAGTCTCAGGGTAAAGGCCAGCCTTCCCTCACAGCCTTGCTTAAGGCTCGCCACACAAGTAAGGTCTGAGAGAAGGACGCCCCAGGCTCCAGAGAAGGAATCAGTGTCCAGAGCACTGCCTGCAGAATGTTAGTCTAGACCAGGAATGGGCAGGCTTTTCTGGAAAGGGCCAGATAGTAAACATGGTAGGCCCTGCAGGTCCCTGTCACAACTGCTTCACTCTCCCATTACAGGGGGAAGGCAGCCAGAGACCATACGTACAATTAAAAAAAAAAATTGGGGATCCCTGGGTGGCGCAGCGGTTTAGCGCCTGCCTTTGGCCCAGGGCGCGATCCTGGAGACCTGGGATCGAATCCCACGTCGGGCTCCCGGTGCATGGAGCCTGCTTCTCCCTCTGCCCCCTCTCCTCTCTCTCTCTCTCTCTCTCTCTCTGTGTGTGTGTGTGTGTGTGTGACTATCATAAATAAATAAAAAATTAAATAAATAAATAAATAAATAAATAAATAAATAAATAAATAAAAATTAATGGGTATGGCTGGGCTCCAATAAAACTTTATTTACAAAACCAGAAGGACTGTATTTGGCCCTGAGCCATGGTTTGCGGGTTCCTGGTCCAGGTCTTACCCCATCATGTTAGTCGCGTGGAGGTTGGTCTCCTAGTTTGTGAAGTCCTTCGGCAGAAAAAGCCATTATCTTGTCATATGCCCTAGGTTTCCTGGTGACAAGTACAGGGCTCAGTTAGAGTAAGCACCTAAAGCATCTGCTTGTTAGCTGGGATGACAGCATTCACGCTGGACAGACGTTAATGTCATCACATCATCATCTTGCTATGTTCTTGGATTCAGTGACTTGCCCAAGGTCGTTTCCACCCGGCACAGGGACTAGTATCTAGCCAGGCGTGCTGATTTAAGACAAGTCCGTGATCGTCACTTGTTAACAGCATATTGATAGCTTATGCTTTCAGGAGTCACTGCATCAGTCTATGTTGGAGGAAAGCGTTAAATGGCACATATGAAATAGTAGTTATGAAAACAATAATAACTAGTATCTATTGAACTCGTATTAACTGACAGGTACTCTGCTTGGTTCTTCCAGAAATTAGATTACAGAGTCCTTACAACAGACAGATGGAGCAGTCGCTATTGTTATCTTTACTAGAGGAGGCAATGGCCACGCCGAGAGCCTAGTGTGCCACAGTGGAGGCACGATACAAGCCCACTTGCTATGGTGCTGGATTCCATTTTCTTAGCCACTTGCCCAGCCCACTTCATGAGACTTACGAAAGTCAAGGAAACAATGTGTGGGGTACACTTTGGGAAAGGACAGGGTCATACAGATTTAAGGTAAGATTACAGGATACTTCTATTAATGAAAAAAATAGCGCGGCTCTTTTTATCCCCAGCAGGAGGATGATTATGGAGAGGGAGAAGATGACGCAGAGGTCCAGCAAGAATGCCTACATAAGTTTTCTACCCGGGATTATATAATGGAGCCCTCCATCTTTAACACTCTGAAGAGGTGTGTGAGAAAAGTCATTTGTATTGGGAGGAGGCTGGGGGTAACTTAGAGATAGTTTGTAATGGATCCAGAGGATGGTCTGCAAAAGTGAGAATAATGTGGTTTTGGAATGGGAGGCTTCTAGTGCCCCGCTTCCCTTTAAAAACCTTAATAGCCTAGCTATCCTGTCATTGATGGATAGCCATTGATGGATGCCTGTCTATATTCATTTGCGTGCCATAGCTTTTCTGTTACTTTTTCTAGGTATTTTCAGGCAGGTGGTTCTCCGGAGAATGTTATCCAGCTCTTATCTGAAAACTACACTGCCGTGGCCCAGACTGTCAACCTGCTGGCTGAGTGGCTCATTCAGACAGGTGCTGTGTGGGTGGCTTGTCACTCCCCCTCCTCCCAACTTTTTAATAGACCTTTGGATCATTATAATTCTGATAAATTGGAAAGGTCTTGTTTGTTTTCCTGGTTTTTAGGACTTCTGTAAGTAGGAACTGAACTTCTTACCCATCTTCGTCTGCTTGATTCTTACCTTTGATTCAATAATTGAGGTTTACAGATAGCCTGCAAACGTGATTCTTATTGAGCTGTTTGCCCTACCCTGTTGTAGAATTATAGGATTATATAGTATATGTTCAATGTGACATTTTTAAGAGATCTCTTATAGCAAGAAGTAATTGATGGATAATTTAGGACTGGGCATGATTATGGCTTTTAGCTAACATGATCAAAGTAGAGCCTGTAAGTCCACTGAGCTGGGTATGGATGACATGATGGAGCGGGCGCTGCCCAGAAGGCAGCAGGTTCATTGCTACCACAGCACTTAGAGACAGTGTGCCTCTCGTGACTGGCATCTGCTCTCTTCCACCCAGTCAGTATGTTTTTCCATCTTCCTGCCTGTTCATGGTGGCAGTTTCTCCTTGTCCTAACTGGGCCTTCTGAGATGCCACTGTCCTTTGCAAGTAGGCAGACATCCTTGTGCGTTTTGCCCTGAGCTCCATTTAGAGTCTTACCCCTGAATATAAATGGTAATAAATGGTAATAATGTATTTTATGAGAAGTCCCAAATTCCAAGCGGTCAGAAGCAGTTCTGTGGTCTCTGGTTCACATGTGGACTCTGGCCCTGTCTGCATTTCCTACAACTTGAGGGTTCGCTTGTTCCCATCTGCCTGTTTTCATTTTCTTTCAGGTGTTGAGCCAGTACAGGTTCAGGAAACTGTGGAAAATCATTTGAAGAGTTTACTGATCAAACATTTCGATCCTCGCAAAGCAGATTCTATTTTTACTGAAGAAGGAGAGGTGAGATGTCTGTCTTCTGTCTCTAATAATGGGTCCTAGGATCTTTTGTTCCCTCCACATGAATAGTGGGAATGTGGGGTGTTGTGCGAGTGATGTAAAGAGTTGGGTCCTAAAATCAGGATGTGGGACGAGTTGCATCAAGTCAGAACTGCCCTTTAAATGCTCCGTGTGGTGTAGTCAGCTCTTGCGTGCCGAGAGGTGCACAGCTGGGAAGAGGAATAGCAGACTCACACCTCCCGTTTCCTGCTGACTCTGGAGCGCAGGCTCTGTGAGTGGAGTGCTCTAGTCGTCTGGGTGCCCTAGGAAGCAGATGCCAAGATGGGATTCTCTGTGCGGGAGAGAATGGCGGACATGCCTGTGAGAAGACCGGCAGGGCCCAGAGTCGTGATGCACATGTGGCCCCTAAGGCAGGACGGAGGCAAGGAAGGTTGGAGATGAAGAGCCCTAGGTGACAGTGCAGTTTTCAGAAAGTTTCTGCAGAGTCAGGGCATCTTCAAGCCACAGTTGCCTGTCACTGAGCCCCATGTCTCCTGGGGCAGGCCTGCCTGAGGAGCCCTGCCGCCCTCATTTGGTGGCTGGGAGTATCCAGTGGGAAGCCTGGCCTTGGCACAAATGGGAGGTAGACTCAGAGTCGGCCCTTGGGTCTATCAGTCAACAGGAGGGGAGCCACCCCCCATGGTGATGGACTAAACCACTGTGCTGTCCAATGGCCTTTTTCTCCTGCTGAGGGCACGCAGCTGATGGAATGGGCATTACTTGTGTGTGTGCCACAGCCCCACTCCACGTGCTTGCCTAGATTCTCGCGTGTCTCCCAGAAGCGCCTTCCAATATGCTCTTGTGTGTGGTTGAGTCTTCCAGAAGCTCTGAGTGGGCCTTCAGGGCTTCGGCACTGCCACTCAGCCACCCGTGTGGCACCACCAACTCCGGATCAGCTTCCTCTGCTGGGACTCAGGGCTGGAGTTAGATGCTCTCAGGGACTCTTCCAGCTGGAATATCCAGTGATTGTTTATACGATATCATCTTCACTTAAGCTCGAGCTAGGCCTTTTATCTTGCCATCTGTTTGTTTATTGGCAGACCCCAGCTTGGCTTGAACAAATGATTGCACACACCACGTGGAGAGATCTTTTTTATAAACTGGCTGAAGCCCATCCAGACTGTTTGATGCTTAACTTCACTATTAAGGTAGGAAGAGTACTAGAGTCACAGAAAAGATAAAAGTATTGATGAGCAAGAGGTATTTTGGGTTGGTTGAGAGGTGGTCTTTCTTCTGCAAGGTCATATCTGCTTTTTGGTAAAGGTCTCCATCACTTCACTAAGTCTGAACAATAGGAAAGAAAAGCATAGAATATGTATCTGTGGGGTTTTTTTTTATGATTTTATTTTAGGGGCGCCTGGGTGGCCCATTCACTGAAGCATCTGCCTTTGGCTCAGGTCATGATCCCAGGGTCCTCGGATCAAGCCCCATGTCAGGCGCCCCGCTCAGTGGGGAGCCTGCTTCTCTTTCTCCCTACTGTTCTCCTTGCTCATGCTCTTTCTCTGTCAAATAAACAAAATCGTCAAAACATTTTTTTAAAGTTCAAAAGATTTTATTTTTAAGTAATCTCCACACCCAGTGTGGGGCTCGAACTTAAAACCCTAAGATCAAGAGTCACATGCTCCACTGATTGAGCCAGTCAGGCGCCCCCATATCTGTGTTTTTGGATCAACATGAACTATGTTTTAGAATTTGGCAAGAACATATTTATAGAATTTGTTGTGTGCTGAGAGGAATCTTTAAGATTCTTGGTTTGGGGCGCCTGGCTGACTCAGTTGGAGCATGCGACTCTTGATCTCGGGGTCATGAGTTCAAGCCCCACATTGGGCACAGAGGGTTACTTAAAAAAAAAAAAGAATGTCTGGTTTGTCTCTTTCATGTGACACATGAAGAAACCAAGATGGGATGGTTAGCCTGGGCCACAGACCTAGTTAGTGGCAAGGCAGGGGTCAGAATAAAGGTTTGAGACCTGAGACCAGTGATTGCTTGTCCCACCTTACCACAAACACTGATGACAAGCCAACTTTCTATGAAATGTGTGGTTACCACCTGTTGACACTTTGTCTGGTTTCTTGTGTTTGTATTGTAGCTTATTTCTGATGCAGGGTACCAAGGGGAGATTACCAGCGTGTCCACAGCCTGCCAGCAGTTGGAAGTGTTTTCTAGAGTACTCCGTACCTCTTTAGCTACAATTTTGGATGGAGGAGAGGAAAACCTGGAAAAAAATCTCCCTGAGTTTGCTGTAAGTTCTTTATTTTGAATGTCTCAGATTAGAAGGAAGCTGCTTTAGGTTGTGCATATTCAAACTTGAAATGTTTCTTCCATGTAGATAATATCCAGGTCAGAAGGCCTGTTCCAGCATAATAACTTGCATGCAAAAAAGAGTAAGGGTCTGGCTCTTTTTGTCAACGCTTGTCATTGCTGCCATCTTGAAACCCCAAACTCTCTCCCCATGCAATTTTTCAGAAGATGGTGTGCCACGGGGAGCACACGTACCTGTTTGCCCAGGCCATGATGTCTGTGCTGGCCCAAGAAGAGCAAGGCGGCTCTGCCGTGTGCAGGATTGCTCAGGAAGTGCAGCGCTTTGCCCAGGAGAAGTGAGAGGCGGTTTTTTTGTTGTTGTTGTTTTGTTTTGTTTTTTTTTACTTGCCCTAGTCCTAATGAGGTTCTTTCTGTGAAATTCTCTCCCCACTTCCTTGGCCCTTTCTTCACAACCAGAGACTCTAGGTCCTCCCGTTTTGACAGATAACTTCCTTTTACCTAGTAGAGCTGGGAAAAAAGTCAGGGCAATTTTAAATTAGAGAGCTTGCTTTCTGAAGTTTGGCTTTGATGAGTGTTTTGTAAAATAATTGATTATTGTTCAAGTATTTGTGAACCTATATTTTCATGTATTAGGACTCGTCAATAGCAAATAATAGTAGTTCTGAAACAGTACCCCATAGTCTAGTTGTTGTGTCATCGTCCATATCATACAGAACAAAATGAGCGCTTGTGAGCATTCTTCTCCACTAATGGAATCTTAATAATACATTAAAAGTGTGTGGCTCCTTTTGGAAAGTCTGCAAGCCACATCCAGTCACTCTTTCCCAGTTAGCTATACATGCTGTTTTCATGGATCTGTCAGGGTCCCAGCAAATGACAGTAATATGAAAAACAAAGGGACCCAGATAGTCCCAAATGTTAGGTTTGAAAAAGGAAGGAGAGAGACAGAGGAGGAAGGAGAGGACAGGGCAGGGTGCCACCTTCTTAACAATGGGAAATATGCTTTTTTTCATCAAGGGGTCATGATGCCAGTCAGATCACATTAGCCCTGGGCACCGCTGCCTCCTACCCCAGGGCTAGTCAGGCCCTTGGGGCTATGCTGTCCAAAGGAGCCCTGAATCCGGCTGACATCACAGTCCTGTTCAAGATGTTCACAAGCATGGACCCACCTCCTGTTGAACTCGTAAGTTGCTTTCATTTTGCTAATAAGGCAAGACACCCTCCATGCTGATGAGAAGGGTTATTTTCAAAAGACTGTGTTTCTCTGAAGTCACTGAGTACAGATCTGTGTTGCAATGTTTCTGGCCTTCTCTTTCTCATCCCGTCCTCAGCCCTCACACACACTGGGTCATCTGCTGGGCTGAGCGCTGGAGGGCGGATGAGTGGGCATGCCCTCACTCCTGCCCTAAGAGTATGTGGGCCTTCCTGACATCCCTTCTGTGCATTCCTTTCCCATGATGCTGTGCGTCTCCTCAGATCCGGGTGCCCGCCTTCCTGGACCTGTTCATGCAGTCACTCTTTAAACCGGGGGCCAGAATCAACCAGGACCACAAGCACAAATACATTCATATTTTGGCCTACGCAGCAAGCGTGGTTGAAACCTGGAAGAAGGTACTCCCCGTTCTGAGAATTTGTGGGCTTTTAGGCAGACAGGGAACCTCCTCTTTCTGGTAGTATTTGGGAATTTTGGCTGCAAGAAGTCATGAGCCCAACTAGTGTCAAAAATACCTTTTCTAGTGTCCATGCATGCTAAATCTCTCAAGGAAATGTGCATGGGGGTCTGTGTATACTTCTTCAAACTGGAATTGAAAGTGCAGCTAGAGAAACCAAACAGGTCTCGCTCAGTACCAGACCCAGTCTCACTGGCTGGTTTCTGCAAGCTGGCTGACTGGGGGTGGTGCTAGCTGAGTCCCAGGGATGGGGAGGGTTTGCAGGGAGGGGTGGCCGGTAGCAGATCACCCCCACCCTGCAAGGCCGCACACGCTGTCGGGATTCACAGACGTGTGTGTATATGTATGTGCTCAGAACAAGCGTGTGGGCATCAACAAGGACGAACTGAAGTCAACGTCAAAAGCCGTGGAGACCGTGCACAACTTGTGCTGTAACGAGAACAAAGGGGCCTCTGAACTAGTGGCAGAGCTGAGCACACTTTATCAGTGTATCAGGTGAGCCAAAGAAAGCTACTTAATCTTTCTGAGTTATTTTATTAAAAACCAAAAAAAAAAAAAAATAGGGTCACTTAGGTGGCTCAGTTGGTTAGATGTCTGCCTTCGGCTCAGCTCATGATCCCAGAGTCTGGGACCAGCCCCACATGAGGCTCTCTGCTCAGCAGGGAGTCTGCTTTTCCCTCTCCCTCTGCCCCTTGCCCATGCTTATGCTCTCGCTCGCTCTCAAATAAATAGAATGTTTAAGGGAAAAAAAGGTAAAAAAAATACATAACAAAAGCTTCAGAGATACTGAGTTTATGTTTTCTTTCTAAAATGTATATAGAGGGATGCCTGGGTGGTTGAGCGTCTGCCCTGGGTTCAGGGCATATCCTGCAATCCCGGGATCGAGTCCCACATCAGGCTCCCCGCAGGGAGCCTGCTTCTCCCTCTGCCCATGTCTCTGCCTCTCTCTGTCTGTGTCTCTCATGAGTAAACAAAACAAAACACCCACATCCAAAATGTATGTAGAGAACTTTAAACTTTCAGCAGCGTGAGTAATTTTCAGGCACTTACCTGCCAGAAATCTGTTCATAAATAAGCCCAAGAAAAAGGAAGAGCAACCAGAATTTCAAAAGCTGCTTTGAAGGAAAGGGTCTCTTTCCAGTACACGTCAGGCCGACAAGGTATTGCTTAGATGGAAATGACTTGTGACCATAGCTGTGGTATGAACACACACGTCCGTTAAGAAAGCTTACAGGCAGGCGATCTTGGGCGTTCCAGTCTCTCCCCTGTTAATTTGCACTCAGGACAAGGAAGGGGCTTGCTAAATAGGACGTCAGCCAGTCTAGGCTTCCTGAGTGTTCTGCATCTTGATCTTGTCCTTCTAAACCAACGAAGTAGTTTAAGGTAGGCCAGCCACGGAGTCTGGGTTCTTGTACGACACGTGGAGTGGATGCTGGCCTCCTCAGACTGTCTCACAGGCAAGCATCTCCCTGGCAGAGCATGTTGGGAGTGACTTGCTGGGATAGGTGGAGCAGCGGTGGCTTTTTAAACCTTCCGAACTGTTTAGTGCGGTGTTTTGTTAGCTTCATGTAAAGGAAGCACCGCGCCTTGCTCTTATGTGCAGGTTTCCGGTGGTGGCAATGGGTGTGCTGAAGTGGGTGGACTGGACTGTGTCAGAGCCGAGGTACTTCCAGCTGCAGACCGACCACACCCCCATGCACCTGGCCTTGCTGGATGAGGTAGGAGGGCCTCGGGGCACGGATGGTGCTGCTCATCTGTCCTGCCAGGACAGCCGTCACCCGCGGCAGGAGCTGCTCAGTACAGGGCTGGTTACTTTCTATCCTCAGTGAGGATGTTCCTTTTAAGAACTAGTTTTGTTGGCTCCATAGACTTCCAACTTTTAGCAAGTGTTTTTCAAAGGCTGAGGAATGGCACAGAAGCTGAAGGGCTGAGTGCTGAGGACTGCCATCGTCGGCGACCTGTGACCGTGATGACGGTCCTCCGCACCGCGGTGAGCCCAGAGATCCAGCCGTGCTCAGTGCGGCTCCCTCTGGCATGTTTGTAGATCAGCACCTGCCACCAGCTCCTGCACCCCCAGGTCCTGCAGCTGCTAGTTAAGCTTTTTGAGACTGAGCACTCCCAGCTGGACGTGATGGAGCAGGTGAGCAGGTGGCCCATGGGGTTGTGGAGGCTGGTGGGGAGGACCCGCTGTAACAGGTCTGCCCCCCTCCCCCCCCACAGCTCGAGTTGAAGAAGACCCTGTTGGACAGGATGGTTCACCTGCTGAGTCGAGGTTATGTACTTCCTGTTGTCAGTTACATCCGAAAGTGTCTGGAGAAGCTGGACACTGACATTTCACTCATTCGCTATTTTGTAACCGAGGTCAGCAATACACCATTTGTTTCATGTTTCATACTCTTAACACTAGTGGTGCCTTTTGGCTTAAGTTTAGTTCAGTTTGTACCTAACCCTGAGAACTGTGCTTTCTGATAATTGCGGTGACGGCAGTGATTAGTTCCCAAGCACCTCCCTGCTGCAGGAGCCATATTCTGTGTTTTACCTACATAACCACCTGGGTGTCGTAGTGTTGGAGACGCGTGTGGTCACGGGGAGGGGGAGGGAGGGTTCTCCAAACTGATTGCCATCTCGTCACATGTTGGCGGGATGCCGCCCGCAGGCTGTGCGGGGAGTGACCTGGTCTTCTCTCCCCCAGGTACTAGATGTCATTGCTCCTCCGTACACGTCTGATTTTGTGCAGCTTTTCCTCCCCATCTTGGAAAATGACAGCATCGCTGGCACCATTAAAACAGAAGGAGAACATGACCCTGTGACGGAATTTATAGGTAGGATTGATGCACATGCCCCTCTGCTACAACCTTAAGCGTCATCAGTCACCTCCTGTTTCTAAGCCGCGGCCGATTTTCCTTGTTGTAAAAGCTCACTGCAAGTCCAGCTTCATCCTGGTGAACTGAGAGCATCCGTCAGAGCTGACACAGAACATTCCAGAGACCAGCTGTGGGAAAGCCCTCCCAGAAGCTCCTGCTTGAAGAGGCCCCGTCAGCGTCCTGGGACTTGGGCTCTGGTGGGAGGAGGGGCTGTGGGTAGCGCCGCTAGTGCAGCCACCATGTGTCCATCTCCTCGGAGTCAGGGCTGCCCTGCACCCTGTGGCCATGTCCTCCCCCCACCTCCATCCCCCAGCACAGGATCTGGGCACCCCCTGCCCCACAGAGGCGGGGAGCTCAGAACCTGAGACTTGTAGGTGAACCACCTTCCAAGGTGACTTTTCTTACAAGAGCCCGGTTGGTGATACTTTATTGTCATTGTTTTAATTTTCCAAGAATAAATTTGAAAACCTTTCTGCTGGATTGGCAGGTGTTGATGCTGGTGGTGGTTTTCTCGTGTGTAAATGAGGCACACCCAGGCTCTACTCCTGTGGGGAGTCACGTGTTTTATTCATCACTTGGGAAATCTCAAATGGCCATCCTCTCCCTCCGCCCCCACCACTGATTCCAAGGTGACAGAGGAACTGGTGATAAGTCTGCCCTTTTTTACCACATTAGACACCACACCTGCCAAATAGAAAACACCAAATCATGCACCGAAGAGACCGGAGGTCACATCATTAATGCCTTGCAGATCGCACCTCCACCAGGCAAATTGTTTGCCGCAGTCATGGTGGCAGGGGAGCCGCTGGCACCCGGGTCTCAGCCATCCCATTTCAGACTCTCCCTCAGGAGCGCCCTTCCAGCCGGCGCCACAGCGGTCTGCGTGGTGACAGGTGCGCGGTGCCGTGACCAGCTGGATGCCAACCCCTCGTCCCTTCAGACCGTGGTGGGACCAAATCAGTGCCCGTAGCGATGGGACCCCCTCTGACTGTGGTTCACGATATCATTTCCTAAAATGTTCTTCTGGGGGCCTGGGCCTTAGACGATGGGGTCCCCAAACGTACAGTACTCCTCGACGGCAAGGTTGTAACTGGCACCCTTCCCGTCTTTATAGGTGCTGGTCACTATCCTCATCCAGCCGCGCTCACCCTGTGGGCAGGGGGACCACACGTTAGCCTCCGTGGGTCCCATAGACCCACAGCTCCGCGAGCACGCCACCCTCTGCCCCCTCGCCACGGTCCAGGCGCCACGCCTGCTCCACCGCCCCTGCCCTTGCGTGGGACCCCTCCTCAGAAATACCTGCCGTGAAATATTTCTACTTGATTAATGTTTAACGAGTGGGGTGCGTGGCCCTGTGAGCCAAAAGCAAATGAATGCAACTAGAATGTTGACTCTTCGGGCTCGATGACTTAACTACTTATTAATATCCCAGGTTTCTAGTCCTTTCATCAAAAATATTGACATTTCATCACTTCAACATTAATCACTCTCCTGCACTTCAGAGTAATGAATTTCTGTGTCTTACACTGTTAATGGTTAATACTGAGTCTTAGAAATGGAAATTTTGGCAGTTAATTTATCTCCCTTGGATTTTTGACCCAAAAGTATTTTTGAAAAAACTCGTAATATCACTTAGAAGAGTGGAAACTACGGCAGCAGAAAGGACAAGATGGTTGTAAAGCAACAGAGGAGCTGTACTGAAAGCTCCAGAACAGTGCTTCACAACCTGGCCGGGGTCCCCAGGAGGCACTTGGCAATGTCTGGAGACACTGGTAGGGCCGCACGGGGGGTCAGGGAGGGGCCGGCGATGCCACTAAACCCCCTACAATGTATGGGACAGTGACAGCCGCCATCCCCGCTGGGAGGGCCCGACCCCTGCCGGAAGCCCCCCTGCTCGGGGCCACAGTTGGCAGCCAGGAGCCAGGACAGACCTGGGGGCGAGGGGGCTACGTGCAAACATCTTACCCACGGTTCTCCCCATGAATTCCGGACGATCCAGTACTCGGTGCCGTCGCTGACACCCCAGCCCACCACAGAGATGACGTGGTTTATGTAGGCCTGCTCCTGGTACTCCGCGTGGATGCCTCCCGTGTAGTTGACCATCTTCTCCGTCGCCATGATTCCGCAGCTGCGCGCAAGCCGTGGAAGGATTAGCACCTCGGCGGGAAGGACTCACCACGGGCCCGACGGGCCCGAGGAGCCGACTCAGACCGTGCGGGGAGGGCTCTGCGGGAGCCTCTGTCGTCCTTCACTGCGCGTGTGTGCACGTGTGCGTGTGGTGTGCATGCGCACGCCCTTCGCCCTCGCTAGCGTCCTGAGTGCCAGCTCCACGGAGGACAACGCTCGCGCAGCCCTGACGGTGAAGCCGGCCCGGGACGGGGGCCACAGGGCCCGGGCTGGCAGCGGCCCCGGCCTGCTCACCTGATGGGGCCGTTGGCGTAGATCTCGGCCATCATCTTCTCCCTGCCGGAGAGGGAGCCGTAGTCGCCGACTCTCCAGAGCGTGTAGTTCTGGATGGCGTGGCACTCCTTGAACTCGGTACACGTTCCGCACTGGTTGAACTTGTTGCACTCTGGGGGCGGCGGGCAAGGTCAGCGTGAGGCCGCCTCCCTAACCCGCGGACACAGCAGCCCGTCCACACCCGCTGTCCGCTCCGCCAGCGCGGCGATGCGCAGGCACTCGGAGGTTAGCCTCCTCTCTTCCTCCGGAGGCCGAGGACAGGGTCTTTTCACAGAACTCCGTAGCGGAAGAGTGTCATTGAATTACTAGCTTTCAGTAAGATAATTGTATTGCTAGTGAACAGGTCGGCAGGTTAGGAAAAAAATAAGCATTTTCTTTTTTTTTCCTTTTTTGGCTTAGGGAGGTATCGAGAATTAGGCTACAAAAGAGGAGGCTCTTAGCTCTGTAAGACCACACGGGCCCCTGCATCCTTCCCAGGCCCTGGCCATCTCCCGTCCTGCCTCTTGACCACTCTCGTGTTACCCACTTGTTCTAACTTCCCATCTGTCCAGATTCCCCCCCAGGACATCAGATTCCTTGAGGACCGAGTGGCTGGTTTCATTTGTCCCCAACACGCCAAATGCCCCGTGCCCAATACAGCTGGACAGGGACGGTCTTCGGCCACACTGGCTACCTCGGAGACAAGACTGTAGGGCAAACAGTCGGGTTGGCTCAGCTGTGCCGGGCCCTGCTGCCCTTGGGGGGTTCGGGGACCTGGCCGAGGCCAGGGCGACCAGTGCAGGGCGAGGCGCAGCCCCAGGGACCACCGACCCCAATCTCCAGAGCCTTCTCAGCCTCGCCAGCCCTCTCCCTGGTTCTCTGCCCCCCGCTGTGTTTGTTTACCCAACAGGACTCACCCAACCAGTCTGGGGGAATTTTCTGGCTGTGCAGCGTGGCTCGGGAGGCCAGGCGGGGGCACCCCGTGGGTGTGCGACGGCGCCCAGAGCATGCTCGGGCACCGAGGGCACAGGGGCTGCTGCAGCTCACCCTTTATGAGGGAGAGGGTGTGGGCGGAAGAGCAGCCACAGTGGCTCCCCACTCCTGCGGCCTGTCTCCGATGGCCCCAGGGGTGCCCCGGCTCTCCGCTCTGGCCACGAGGGACTCAGACGCGAACAGGTGACCTAACGCTGCCAATTACGGGTTTGGGGTTTGCACTTCCATGCCTTTGGTTCCTCAGGGGAGCAGCCCAGAGGGACGGTGCCAACCCCCGGGTCGGATGGCAGGCTGGCTCTGCTGGTGGCCGCAGGCCCCTCCGCTCCGGCTGCGCCCACACGCACAGGTCCAGGCGGGGGGAGCAGGCCGTGCTCCAGCCGGGCCCGCATGCGTCCGTTGAGGGCCGTGACCCACCTGCCGGCCTGCTCCCCTCACCACTCGGGAACATCTAGGCCTGCCTCGACAAGGCCCCACCTTCCAGAGGCCCCGGGAAACCACCCAAAGGCCAACAGGCCAGAACCCAAACCAGGCCAGTCCTGGCTCCGGGGCACGAGGCTGGAGACGGCCTCCCATCATTTCTGTAGGTCTTCCCCACGACCACCTGCCTGCTCCCCGAGCCCCACCAGCTTCAGGGGTGGGGGGCTCCCACCTCCATGCCCCCTGTACACCCCTGCCTCAGAGCGGGAGAAGCAGGGGGTCACCCGGGCTCCGGGTGGCTCCGTCCCCGGGAGGAGGGCGCTGGGGGTGGGCAGGGGCCTACCCTGGTCCTTAGCCTGGTAGTTGTTGCAGGTCTCGTCCGGGATGCCGTGCTCGTGGGCGTAGCTCCACACCGGCAGGTCGTTGCCGCCCTCGCAGGAGCCCGCGTTGGCGCAGTCGAGGACGTGCTGCACGGACAGCAGGGTGGAGGGCCAGGCCCCCTTCCTCTTGATGTTGATCCTGTCTGCAAGGGCAGCACCCACACCTGGTCAGCACGCACCCCCCACCCACCCCCACTGCCCGGCGCCTCCAGACATGGACCGTCTGTCCACACTGCCCGGCTGCGGGGGCTCCGGAAGCACCTGCTGGAGGGCTGGCAGGACAAGAACTGGGGCCGGCCCCGAGGACCAAGCCTGGAACAGGACAGTCGTGCCCCCCGGGGCGCCCCCCCCTTGTCCCCGGTGTCATCACCCAGGCCCGTGTGCTCCGTGCTGCTCCACTTGCGCTCCTCTGACCAGCCTGGGCCTTCTGAAGCTCACCGCCAATCACGGGCAATGGCCCCCCCAGCCCGCCACCCCTTCCTCATTGTCCCCTGGAGCCTGGCCACTTCCTGCCCCTTGGCTGCAGGTGGCTGCCCTGCCCTGCCCTGTCCTCGGGCCCCTGGCCTGTCCACACAATCCAGGGCACCTGCTCACCACTCCCCGGGGCTCCCCGGGCCGTAGCCCCTGCGCCCAAACACCGTGGGGGACACACAGGAGGTGCTCACAATCAGCCGCCTGAGCGCATGGGCCGCCGTCCCTAACTGCAGCCTGGCCCTGGCCACTGAGCCCCGGGAGGTCACCTCCCCGACGCAGGTTCTCCATCCTCACGCTTCCTACAACGCTTCGCCTCCATGGGTCCGGGTTTCCTTAGGTGCCGCCGCTGCGCAGGGGGATCCCCACTCCAGGGAGATGCCTGCTGACGCGGGGACCCGAGGCCCCACTGCCCGCTCGCTCCCGGCCCACAGGGACCCCGTCACCAGGGCCCCAGCCCCACCTGCCACTCCCAAACTTCACTGGAAAACTCAAAGGCAGCTCCTTCATCTCTCTGAGCCCCAACCCACCTCCTGGGACAATAGGGGCGTGACCCCGCCCCCTCCCCAAGGCCCCGTGGACCTGCCTTTCGTGAAACAGCAGCAAGGAGCGCCGGGGCCGCGGGCCCCCACGGAAGGGCGGCGTGGGCTGCGCAGTGCGGCTCCCCACGCCCCCCGGTTCTGCTCCCAGCCCCGTGGCCCCTTTATGCCTTCGGCCTAGCGCAGCCTCGCTCGCGTGCCCTCCCGCCCCCCGTGGCGAAGCTGCCAACGCGGCCGCCTG